CTGGAGTGCAGTGGTGCGATCTCAGCTCACTGCAACCTCCACTTCCCAGGTTCAAGCAATTCTCCTGCCGCAGCCTCCCGCATAGCTGGGACTACAGGCACTCGCTGCCATGCCCAGCTAAATTTTTGTATTTTGGTAGAGACAGGGTTTCACCGTGTTGCCCAGGCTGGTCTCGAACTCCTGAGCTCAGGCAATCTGCCCTCCTCTGCCTCCCAAAGTGCTGGGATTACAGGCGTGAGCAACCATGCCCTGCCCTCTTATTTTGTTTTTTTTTTTGAGACAGAGTCACCCAGGCTGGAGTGCAGTGGTGCTATCTCGGTTCACTGCAACCTCCGCCTCGCATGTTCAAACAATTCTCCTGTCTCAGCCTCCCGAGTAGCTGGGATTACAGGTGCCCAACACCATGCCTGGATAATTGTTGTATTTTTAGTAGACACGGGGTTTCACCATATTGGTCAGGCTGGTCTCCAACTCCTGACCTCAGGTGATCCACCTGCCTCAGCCTCCCAAAGTGCTGGGATTACAGCCGTGAGCCCCCACACCTGGCCTATTATTTATTTAAGGTTAAAATGCAAACAGATTCCTGCCTGCAAGTTGCTGCATGTGACCCTCAGCTGAGGGTGATGGGGTTCCTAGAGCTTGGGGGTCTCCAAGGGCAGGTGCAGGAGGACGCCAGGAGTACCGTTTGCACCCAATGCTGGGGGCAGGTCATTAGGGAGAAAGACAACTTAACTCTGCTTTGAATTATTTAGAGAGTCTTCTCTGTTGCCTAGGCTGGAGTGCAGTGGCGCAATCACAGCTCGCTGCAGCCTTGAACTCCTGGCCTCAAGGCATCCTCCTGCCTCAAACTCCCAAGTCGCAGGGACTACAGGCGTGTGCCACCATGCCTGGCTAACTCCTGGGCTCAAGCCATCCTCCCGTCTCAGCTTCCCAAGTAGCTGGGACCACAGGCACATGCCACCATGCCCAGCTAGTTTAAAAAAAAAAAAAAATCATTTTTTGTAGAGACGAGGTCTCCTTGTGTTGCCTGGTCTCGAACTCTTGGATTGCCTCAAGTGATCCTCCCACCTCAGCCTCCCAAAGTGCTGGGATTACAGTGTGAGCCACTGTGCCCAGCCTGCTTTCAATTCTTAAATCCAAGAGAGAAATATAAGCTGGCAAACAAAAGTTTTAGTCTTCCCAATTTTGGGTTGTACTAATCATCTCCAGGATAGAGACTCCAAGCTAAAAGTTACATTTTCTTTCACTCTCATGATCCAGGAAGGGTCTAATTGGGAGAAGCCTCTGGGGCTGCCTAGCGTGGGTGTCTGCTGGACACTTCTCAAATGTCTCAGCCTATTTAACTGGAGAATTCACTGAAGAATTAAAGGACTCAGTAAAGAAGAGGTTTGGTTTGTTCATGAAAGTAAGTAGGCTTGTGAAATGCTTTATTTTCCTGTGACTAAAATTCCACCTTGTAATTCCCAGTAAGGATTGCTTCAAGCTATTCATTAATACAAATTAAACCTGTTTCACCATGTTCATAGGAAAATGGCAAAAAAAAAAAAAAAAAAAAAAGTATCTTCATTCACCAACTGAGGACTGGCTCTTCTTTGAAGGTAGCTCTGAGATTTTTTTGTAATGGAAACAAAGGCTTATTTAACTATTGGGGAGGGGGAAGGAAGACTTAGGCCAGACAGGTGGGGACATGGAGGATGAGCCATGAGGGGCAACTTAGGTGCCTCTGAAATGGTCCAGAGCTACCTTAAAAGACAGGGTTTCTATAACAAGTGGTCCTTTCTTTTCCTTTCTTTCTTTTTTTTGGAGACGGTCTCACTCTGTTGCCCAGGCTGGAGTACAGTGGTGCAATCTTAGCTTACTGCCACCTCTAGCTCCCAGGTTCAAGCAATTCTCCTGCCTCAGCCTCGCAAGTAGCTGGGATTACAGGCAACTACTACCACGCCTGGCTAATTTTTTGTGTGTTTAGTGGAGACAGGGTTTCACCGTGTCAGCCAGGATGGTCTCGATCTCCTGACCTCATAATCCGCCTGTTTTTGCCTCCCAAAGTGCTGGGATTACAGGCATGAGCCACCGCATCTGGCTTACAGGTGGCCCTTTCTAAGCCCCGAGATGTCACTGCCTTTTCACCGAAGGCAGAAAAAGAATGTAGGCATGTTTGTCTGAGAGGGAGGGATAGTTTTAGGAGAAAGGACCAAGAGCACATTTTGAGTGGGAAGTGAGTGGTTTCATTTTCTAGCCTTACGACATGGTTTGGCTCTGTGTCCCCACTGAAATGTCATGGTGAACTGTAATCCCCAGTGCTGGAGGTGGGACCTGGGGGGAGGGATTGCATCATGGGGGTGATCTTCACGAATGGTTTAGCACCATCCTCTTGGTGCTACTCTAGTGATAGTGTTCTCACAAGATCTGGTCGGCGAAAAGTGTGCAGCACCTCCCGTCTCTTGTTTCTGCTCCTGCCATGTAAGATGCCTGCTCCCACTTCACCTTCTGCTATGAGTGAAAGTTCCCTGAAGTCTCCCCAGAAGCAGAAGCTTCCTGTACAGCCTGTGGGCCACGAGCCAATTAAACCTCTTTTCTTTATAAATTACCCAGTCTCAGGTATTTCTTTATAGCAGTGTGAGAACAGACTAATACACCTTAAAATAGGGATTTACTTTATTATTCGATTTTATGTTTTTGAGATAGGGTCTCGATCTGTCACCCAGGCTGGAGTGCCGTGGCATGATCTCAGCTTACTGCAACCTCTGCCTCCTGGGTTGAAGCGATTCTCATGCCTCAGCCACCCAAGTAGCTGGAATTACAGGCGTGTGCCACCCTGCTCAGCTAATTTTTGTATTTTTTTTTTTTTTTTTTAATCCAGTTAATGCTGGGTGCCATGACTCGCACCTTTAATCCCAGTGCTTTGGGAGGCCAAGGTGGGAAGATCACTTGAGGCCAGGAGTTTGAGACCAGCCTGGGAAACATCTCCTCTCTACCAAAAAACAAAAACAAAAACAAAACAACCACCAAAAAAACAGCCAGGTGTAGTGGTGCACATCTCTAGTCCCAGCTCCTTGGGAGGCTGAGGCAGGAGGATTGCTTGAGCCCAGGAGTTCAAGGCTGCAGTGAACTATGATTGCACCACTGCACTCCAGCCTGGGCGACAGAGCAAGACCCTATCTCTATTTAAGAAAAATGCACCTAAGAAATCACCTAGTGCTTGGTAAGCTATTAAGGTTTGTTTTTTTTTTTTCTTTTTTTTTTTTTGAGACGGAGTGTAGCTCTGTCGCCCAGGCTGGAGTGCAGTGGCCGGATCTCAGCTCACTGCAAGCTCCGCCTCCCGGGTTTACGCCATTCTCCGGCCTCAGCCTCCCGAGTAGCTGGGACTACAGGCGCCCGCCACCACGCCCGGCTAGTTTTTTGTATTTTTTAGTAGAGACGGGGTTTCACCGTGTTAACCAGGATGGTCTCGATCTCTTGACCTCATGATCCGCCCGTCTCGGCCTCCCAAAGTGCTGGGATTACAGGTTTGAGCCACCGCGCCCGGCCTGTTTTTTTTTTTTTCTAAGTGTATTAATTACATAACCAATATAATAATTTGGTGGCTAAGATCTTTGAGGTGATTCCAAGCAAGAAGAAAGGAGTTGTTGTTAAGCTACAGCTCAGAGTCTCAGAATGAACTATTTCTATTGTCGCTGTCCTTTGCTTAACTGTGGGATAAATATAATTTTCTCAACATTCAACATATGTGTCCTTCATCATTCCCTACGACACTGGTTCCATGTTGCCAAGAGAACCCAGAACGGCCGCAAACACCTACTGGATTGTTACTGGCCTTTCCTGAGAGGATGACCCGGGCTTTGACCTTGTTCATGTTGAAGCTCTTCAGGTAGGCCTCATAGATTCCCTTGGCCAGAGATTTGAGATCTGCGGTTTCAGAATCTTCTATGTCACGTTCGCAGGTAAGAATTTCTGCTTTCAGTTTTGCTTTTTCAGATCTTGGCATTCGTCCAAAACGAATCGCTAGGGTTTGGAGGGGGAAACAGGCATGAGCAGTGAGGTCATGATTGCGCGGACAGGGCTGGACGAGGGGCTCCCCCAGGACTTAAACCAGGAATGAAAATTCACAGGCAGTTCAGACCCATCCTTGATTACTATTCGGCTTTCCACTATGGAGAGATGAAAAACTCAAACTCCGTACACTGTAGACTTATTTTTTTTTTTTTTTTTGAGACGGAGTCTCGCTCTGTCGCCCAGGCTGGAGTGCAGTGGCCGGATCTCAGCTCACTGCAAGCTCCGCCTCCCGGGTTTACGCCATTCTCCTGCCTCAGCCTCCCGAGTAGCTGGGACTACAGGCGCCCGCCACCTCGCCTGGCTAGTTTTTTGTATTTTTTAGTAGAGATGGAGTTTCACTGTCTTAGCCAGGATGGTCTCGATCTCCTGACCTCGTGATCTGCCCGTCTCGGCCTCCCAAAGTGCTGGGATTACAGGCTTGAGCCACCACGCCCAGCCCACTGTAGACTTTTAAACAGGTGCAGGCTGAAGGTGACACCATTGTTCGTCTCATTAGTAGGGTGTACACCACCATCAGGTGCATCATCAACCTTTGAGTGAAGGAGGTGAACGGGGCTTCAGGGTGAGTTTATATAATAACTGCTTCTTTTTCCAGAAGGTAGACATGCAAGTCTTACGAACGACTTACTTTAGTTACATTCACATCACAATTAGCATGTTCTAAAACTATTACATGATTGGCTAGAAGGAAATTCATAAGGTGGCGAGATGTTTGAGGTAGCACACCCTTCCTATGGACAAGGCGAACATTCTGTCATTTTGGTGCCTTCCACTTGGTTTTTCGATTCTGTATCAAAGTCTTACCATTTGAAGTTTCTAACAGCGAGTCCAATGTGCCACTGAATCTCAGCTATTTGAGACTTTTCTTTTTTTTTTTTTTTTTTTTTTTTTGAGACAGAGTCTTACTCTGTCACCCAGACTGGAGTGCACTGGTGCAATCTCAGCTCACTGCAACCTCCACCTCCCGGGTTCAAGCGATTCTCCTGTCTCAGTCTCCCAAGTAGCTGGGATTACAGGTGTGCACTACCACACCCAGCTAATTTTTGTATTTTTAGTAGAGATGGGGGTTTTGCCATGTTGGCTGGGCTGGTCTCAAACTCCTGACCTCAAGTGATCCACTCACCTCGGCCTCCCAAAGGGCTAGGATCACAGGTGTGAATCACCAAGCCTGGGAGACTTTTCTTTTCTTTCTTTCTTTCTCTCTCTCTTTTTTTTTTTTTAATGGAATCTCCTCCCTCTGTCACCCAGGCTGCAGTGCAGTGGCGCAAGCTCGACTCACTGCAATCTCCGCCTCCCAGGTTCAAGCGATTCTTCTGCCTCAGCCTCCCGAGTAGCTGGAACTACAGGTGCGCACCACCACACCCAGTTAATTTTTGTATTCTTAGTAGAGACGGGGTTTCACCATATTGGCCAGGCTGGTCACAAACTCCTGACCTGAAGTGATCCACCCGCCTCAGCCTCCCAAAGTGCTAGGATTACAGGCGTGAACCACCACGCCTGGGCGACTTTTATTTTCTTAGGCCACTCTGATTACAAAATGACTTGGATGTGAAATGTTGAAGCACATTCATCCATAGCTTGGTCTGTTCCCTTGGAACAAAGAAGGGGAACCGAGAAACGAACTGGGAAAATGTGTGGGGCCACCTTACCTACCGTTGTGTGACATCCCGACAGAAAGGCACTTGTGAAAGCGACAATACTGGCATTTGTTTCTATTCTTTTTCTGGATCTTGCAGCTGCGGTCGCACTTGTCATACACCAGCTTGAGTCGAATCGTTCGCCGAAAGAAGCCCTGTGAGGGTAACACGCAGTGGATTTAAAGACCCCGGCCAGCACACTTGCTTTACTCACCTTTTTTGTTGCTCATTTATTGTTTCTTTTTAAATGAACGAAATTTAGGGAAAAGTTATTCTAGGCCAGGCGTGGTGATCACGCCTGTAATCCCAGCACTTTGGGAGGCCAAGGCAGGTGGATCACTTGAGGTCAGGAATTCGAGACCAGCGTGGCCAACATGGTGAAACTCTGTCTCTACTAAAAATACAAAAATTAGTCTAGTGTGGTGGCACGTGCCTGTAATCCCAGCTACTCCTGAGGCTGAGGCAGGAGAATTGCTTGAACCCGGGAGGCAGAGGTTGCAGTGAGCCGAGATCACCCCACTGCACTTTAGCCTGGGTGACAGAGTGAGACTCTGTCTCAAAAAAAAGAAAAAAAGAAAAAAGAAAAAGAAAAAAAGAAAAATAGTTCTTCTAAAAAGTCTGAAATGATTGGGACAAATACAGAACTTTAAATATCATTACATTTAATGTGAAAAACAAATGAGGCAGCAAAGTCATTTCTGAATGCCCTTATCTGACTTGGGAAAACACAATTACAGTTTTCCAAAGAGTTACTCAGCCTTGTTACAATGTATATGAATGTAACTATCCCCAGCATTGTGACATTTCCATATTTGTGACTAAAGACTTTCTAGGAATTTTTGTAAGAGTATATTAACTCCCTCAAAGACAAAAATTATAATAAAGCCAGCTGTTTGTAAACAATTTTCTTGCTTTGTAAAAGCATCTTAAACTCTACCCAGCAAGAAACAATGTTACTAAATAGTCCATAAAAAACAAAACTAAATGAGTAATTAATCATGGCCCTAAGGAAAAGGCCACTTTATAGGGAGCTTTTTCAAAGGTATGTGGTTAGAAAACTTGCGAAGGAGTTCATTTTTGCTTTGGGTTCTTTTTCCTCTTTGCTTTTAAGTCATTCTTCTACATTTTTGCCACAGTGGGGTATGCTTGGCCCGCGGGAGAGGGACAGCAGTGTGCCGGGGAATGTCTGAGAGGCAGGCTGACGTCTTTACAATGTCCTTACCTAAGCTTGCACAGTGGGGAGGCTAAGGAACGCATGGGGTTAGAATGAGAAGGGTGGGGAGAGGGTTCTAGACGGCAGAGTGCCACAATGTTCTGGCTGTGAGGTTCTCCCTGTGGCCCAGGCCTCTGAGGCCAGGCCTGGCTCTAGGCAGAATGCTGGTGTTCCAAGATCATACATTGTGCTGGAAAGGCGGTGGCATTTTTCAAGTTAGTCAACACCTGCAGTGTGCACCGTGAGAAGGGATTTCTGATTCAAACCAAACATTCAGATGATGATATCCCACATTTCATGTACATAAGGTGCCAGACTTGAGCACGGCTGTGCAACCCTAAAGGGATGTTGCTGCAGGAGCTCTCCTCATCACTACGCTGGCAAACACGGAAGGGCCACCAGTCCAGCTGGCAGCACGCGGGACAACAGGGCCTGCCTTCACGCACTCCTGGCCCGGGTCACATCTGTTTAGGGCAGGCTGAGCCAGCAGGAAGATGAAGATACATAGGGGGTTCCTGTGGCTCGAATGGGGTGGAGAAGCCCCTGATGTGCAGGAAGGAACTGCCAGGGGGCAGGAGCAGCCAGTCTCTAGTCCCAGTCTTTGCTTCTGGGAGCTAGGGGACCCTAAGCAAGATACTCTGTGTTTCTGATGGCCAATTCCCCCGGCAGGAGCATCAGAACACCTGCCCCACCTGGCCTTCAGGGAGGGTCCAGAGATCAACGGTAATGGCTCTCTGTCTTGTATTAGAATGAAGTGATGTTCTTAATGTGGCTTATTTTCTTTTCTCTTTTTTTTTTTTTTTTTTTTTGAGACGAAGTTTTACTCTTGTCTCCCAGGTTGGAGTGCAATGGCTTGATCTTGGCTCACTGCAACCTCCACCTCCTGGGTTCAAGCAATTCTCCTGCCTCAGCCTCCCAAGTAGCTGGGATTACAGGCATGCGCCACCACACCTGGCTAATTTTTGTATTTTTAGTAGAGACAGGGTTTCTCCAGTGATGTTCTTAATGTGGCTTATTTTCTTTTCTTTTTTTTTTTTTTTTTTTTTTTTACGACGAAGTTTCACTCTTGTCTCCCAGGTTGGAGGCAATGGTTTGATTCGCTCACTGCAACCTCCACCTCCTGGGTTCAAGCAATTCTCCTGCCTCAGCCTCCCAAGTAGCTGGGATTACAGGCATGCGCCACCACACCTGGCTAATTTTTGTATTTTTAGTAGAGACAGGGTTTCTCCATGTTGGCCAGGCTGGTCTTGAACTCCCGACCTCAGGTGATCCAGCCACCTTGGCCTCCCAAAGTGCTGGGATCACAGGCATGAGCCACCACGCCCAGCCCAATGTGGCTTATTTTCTTTTGAAGAACACACTTCTCTAAGTATTTACAAAGCACAGAGGAACCATTTGTCCTAGACTCTCTAAAGCAGCAATTCCCAACCTTTTTGGCACCAGGGACTGGTTTTGTATAAGACAATTTTTCCACAGATGGGGGATGAGGAGGGATGGTTTCAGGATGAAACTGTTCTACCTTGGAACATCAGGTATTAGATTCTCATAAGGGGCATACAAGCTAGATCCCTCAAATGTGCAGTTCACAATAGGGTTCATGCTCTTGGGGGTTCTGTGCTCTAAAGAGAGAGGCTAATCTATTACTGAGGTCAGTTTCTTTTCTTCTTTTCTTTTCTTTTTTTTTTTTTTTTTTGAGACGGAGTCTTACTCTTGTTGTCCAGGCTGGAGTGCAGTGGCGCAATCTTGGCTCACTACAACCTCTGGCTCCTGGGTTCAAGCGATTCTCCTGCCCCGGCCTCCCAAGTAGCTGGGATTACAGGCACCCACCACCATGCCTAGCTAATGTTTTTGTATTTTTAGTAGAGACAGCGTTTCACCATGTTGACCAGGCCGGTTTCGAACTCCTGATCTCAGGTGATCCAATCGCCTTGGCTTCCCAAAGTGCTGGAATTATAGGCGTGAGATACCGCGCCTGGCCTGAGGTCAGTTTCTTATTCGGGACTTTCTGCAATCTCTCAGTAATGACTGCCATTTGCTATAAAAGTAACCACAAGTGGTTGATGGTGGCAGCCACAGGGCCCTGTTCCAGGTCCCCTCTACCTTGCAGCCTTCACACGCGTGGACTCCGTAATGGTAGCCTGAGGCCTTGTCCCCGCAGATTCTACATTCGATGTTCAGTGCTCCACTGGGAGACTCGTCCACGCTGCCGGGGACCACAGGATAAGTCACCGAGGAGGGGCTCGAAGCTGGTGAAAGCGTGTCTGGGGAAAAAGAGGAGAGACGGATGAATAGTCCAGGCATCACTATCCTGTGTCTGAACTGGGTCTACGAGGATGTGATTTCGCATATGAGGCATCTAACGCTGAGGCGTAAACCTCAGAATACCCATGCAGGGCCGGGCCCTGCCTCTGGGTCACACCCTCTTGCACTCCTACAGCTGCCGTTGTGCTGTGCTCCCAAAGCCAGCATGCTTGCTCCGACTGCTGCTGAGCTGACCTCGAGCTCCAGACCCACACATCTCAGATCACGCATCCCTAGACCCACGCATCTCCGCCCCGCATATCTCCAGACTCGCGTGTCTCCAATCCACACATCTCCGCCCTGCACATTTCCTCATTCCCACATCTTCGATCTGAGCATCTCTGATCCGAGCATCTCTGATCAGCGCATTGCCGCCCCGCGCATCTCTGGACCTGCACATCTCCCATCCACACATCTTCAGATTCGCATCTCCGGACCCGCGCATCTCCAGACCCGTGCATCTCCGGAACCGTGGATCTCTGGACCCGTGCATTTCCGATCTGCTCATCTCTGTTCTGCATATCTCCAGACCCACATATCTCCGGACCCCCGCATCTCTGGACCCGTGCATCTCCTGACCCCCTACAGCTCCTGATTCGCACATCTCCGCACCCGCGTATCTCCGATTCGCCCATCTCCTGATCTGCGCATCTCCGGACCCGCGTATCTCCTGGCCCTCCACATCTCCTGATCCCCACATCTCCGCTCCGCACATCTCCGGACTCCCTCATCTCCTGCTCCATACATCTTGGGACCCTCACATCTCCGGATCCACACATCTCGGGACCTCCACATCTCTGATCCGCACATCTCGGGACTGGCACATCTCCTGATCCGCATATCTCCGGACCCCCACATCTCCGATCTGCACCTCTGTGTACCCGCACATCTCCGCTGCACACATCACCAGACCATCTCGCCCATACCTCACCGTGCAGGACTCCCCGTGCCCCGCGCTGACAGTGCCACACAGAACTCTTTTTGTTTGCTTCCTTCCTTCCAGTTCTTCCACAATTGCTAACTCAGTAAATGGCACCAGAATACAGTATAAAAATCTGTGTGGGTAACACCAAATGCATAATCCATGAAAGAGAAAATATAAGTTGGAATTTATGAAAGCTAATTAAACCTTCTGGTCTGCAAAACACATTGCTAAGAAAATTAAAGACAAGCCACAGACTGGGAGAAAATATTTTCAATACACATGTGGTAATATACAAAGAGGTCTTAAAACAACAATAAGAAAACAAACAACTCAATTGAAAAATGGGGGCCGGGTGTGGTGGCTCACGCCTGTAATCCCAGCACTTTGGGAGGCCGAGGCAGGCAGTCACGAAGTCAGAAGATGGAGACCATCCTGACTAACACGGTGAAACCCCGTCTCTACTAAAAATAACAAAAATTAGCCGGGCGTGGTGGCGGGTGCCTGTAGTCCCAGCTACTCGGGAGGCTGAGGCAGGAGAATGGCGTGAACCCAGGAGGTGGAGCTTGCAGTGAGCTGAGATCGCACCACTGCTCTCCAGCCTGGGCGACAGAGCGAGACTTCATCTCAAAAAAAGAAAAAAAGAAAAAATTAGCATCCCGTGGTGGCGTGCGCCTGTAGTCCCAGCTACTTGGGAGGCTGAGGCAGGGGAATCGCTTGAACCCGGGAGGCAGAGGCTGCAGTGAGCTGAGATCATGCCACTGCACTCCAACCTGGTGACAGAGCAAGACTATGTCTCAAAAGGAAAAAAAAAATGGCCAAAAGATCTGAACAGTCACGTCAGCAAAGATGATATACAGATGGCAAGTAAGCATATGAAACGATGCCCAGCATCACGTGTCATTGGGGCATTGAGAATGAGAACGACAATGTGGTGTCACCACACACCTACTAGGATGACTAACATCCACAAAACTGATATCATCAAATTTGGTGAGGATGTGGAGCAACAGGAACCCCCATTCACTGCTGGTGGGAGTGCAACATGAGACAGCCCCCTTGGAGGACGTTCTGGCGGTTTCTGACAAAGCAAAGCAGTTTTACTGCATGATGGAATCACACTCCTAGGTATTTGTCCAATTGATTTGGAAACTTCTGTCCACGCAAAACCTACACAAGTTTCGAGCAGCTTTTTTTTTTCTTTGAGACAGAGTCTCACGCTGTCACCCAGGCTAGAGTGCAGTAGCACAATCTCAGCTCACTGCAACCTCTGCCTCCGGGTTTAAGTGATTCTCCTGCCTCAGCCTTCCAAGTAGCTGGGATTACAGGCACCCATCACCATGCCCAGCTAATTTCTGTATTTTTAGTAGAGACAGGGTTTCACCATGTTGGGCAGGCTGGTCTCAAACTCCTGACCTCGAGTGATCTGCCCCCCTTGGCCTCCCAAAGTGCTGGGATTATAGGTGTGAGCCACTGCGCCTGGCCAGCTTTATTCTTAATTGCCAAAAATTAGAAGCAACCAAGATGCCCTTAAATAGGTGAATAGACATACAAACTGTGGTACAAACAGACAGTGGGACTTCATTCAGTGTAAAAAGAAATGAGATATCGAGCCATGGAAAGATATGAATGACTCTTAAATGCATATTGTTATAAAAGAAACCAGTCTGAAAAGGCTACATACTGTATGACTTCAAATTCATGGCATTCTGGAAAAGGCAAAATTATAGCAACGGTAAAAAGAACCATTTCTGAGCTGGCTCGGGGTGGGAAAGGCAGGGTTGAATAGGTGAAGCATGGGGTTTTTTGATGTGGTGAGACTATTCATATGAAAATGTAACAGTGGTCTGGGTATGGTGGGTCATGCCTGTCATCCCAGCACTTTGGGAGGCTGAGGTCGGCAGATCACTTGAGCTCAGGAGTTTGAGACCAGCCTGGGCAACATGGTCAAACCCTGTCTTTAAAAAAAATACATAAATTTGCTGGGCGTGGCAGTGTGCATCTCTAATCCCAGCTGCTTGGGAAGCTGAGGTGGGAGGATCACCTGAGCCCTGGGAGGCTGAGGCTGCAGGGAGCTGAGATTGTGCTGCCACTGTACTCCAGCCTGGGTGTCACAGTGAGACCTCCATCTAAAAAAAGAATAGAATGGAATAGAATGGAATAGAATAGAATAGAATAGAATAGAATAGAATAGAATAGAACAGAACAGAACAGAATAGAATAAAAAAGAAAAAAGAAAGAAAGAAAGGGAGAGAGAAAGAGAAAAAGAAAGAAGAAAAGAAGGAAAGAAGGAAATAAAGAAAAAGAAAGAGAGACCGGGCATGGTGGCTCACGCCTGTAATCTCAGCACTTTGGGAGGCCGAGGTGGGTGGATCATGAGGTCAGGAGTTTGAGACCAGCCTGGCCCACATAGTGAAACGTTGTCTCTACTAAAAATACAAAAACATTAGCCAGGTATGGTGGTGCATGCCTGTAGTCCCAGCTACTTGGGAAGCTGAGGCAGCAGAATGGCTTGAACCCGGGAGGTGGAGGTTGCAGTGAGCCGAGATTGTGCCACTGCACTCCAGCCTGGGTGACAGAGTGAGACAAGAAGGCAAGAAAGAGAGAGAAAGAAAATGTAGTGGTGGATACATGACACTATGCATTTGTGAAAACCCACAGAACTTTATAGTTCAGATTGAACTTAATGTGTGCAAATAAAACAAAAATAATTTAGGAGGTTGGAGGATCCCAGGGTGGAATGCAGAATGTAACAAAACAATCTAACTGTGCTACGAATGTAGGAAACAGTCTCAGGGGAAAAAAGTGGGGGCAGGTACGGAAAGGCGCCGCACTGAATAATTTGCAATGACTGGAATCTATAAGACTAAAGGCAAAAGGATCTGCTCATAAACACTGTGCTCTAGCTGAAGTTTTTTTCCCACAGGGTGTGGGTTAACAATTCTGATGCCACTGTACAGGTATACGGAAAATGAACAACGAATTCAAGGAATGGTGAAGTTGACAGGTAGGCAAGTGGAGGAGGCTAGAACGATCCATCTGATAACAGATGAGGGCTGGAGACATCAGCATGCACTCATGTTTGGCTTACTACAGCTATAGATGGCCACGGACTGAAATCCTGATAGACTCCTATATATACATAGGTTAGTATGTACACGTATATGTATTTGCTCTGTCAACTGAGAGCGCCTAAAAAAGGGATACTTCAGTAGCATCCTGAAATGATGACAGCAAACGCTGCCTGGGACCCACATGGAGCTGGATACAGTCCTGTTCTCACCTCTCGCAGTGGAAGATCACTGAAGTCATGGAGCATCAGGCAAAGAGCTCAAAGGGGTTTTGCCTCAGCAGTGGGGCAAAGTTATCTCTAAAATAAACACTGCGATGGTCCCATCTAATGAAGCTGAAAAACAGGACCTGGAAGGATCGAACATTTTCCAAGTCACTTAACTGCATCCCAGAACAAAGTTCAGGAATATTTATAGGAAATCAAAAATATCCATCACCAGGCCGGGCGCAGTGGCTCAAGCCTGTAATCCCAGCACTTTGGGAGGCCGAGATGGGCGGATCACGAGGTCAGGAGATCGAGACCATCCTGGCTAACACGGTGAAACCCCGTCTCTACTAAAAAATACAAAAAAACTAGCCGGGCGTGGTGGCGGGCGCCTGTAGTTCCAGCTACTAGGGAGGCTGAGGCAGGAGAATGGCGTAAACCCAGGAGGCAGAGCTTGCAGTGAGCTGAGATCGGGCCACTGCACTCCAGCCTGGGCGACAGAGCGAGACTCCGTCTCAAAAAAAAAAAAAAAAAAAAACCATCACCCAATAAAGTTCCCAACATATGGCATCCAATGAAAACAACTGGCCAGGCGAGGTGGCTCACACCTGTAATCCTAGCACTTTAGGAGGCTGAGGTGGGTGGATCACTTGAGGTCAGGAGTTCAAAATCAGCTTGGCCATCATGGTGAAACTCTGTCTCTGCTAAAAATACAAAAAATTATCTGGGCATGGTGGTTAGCGCCTGTAATCCCAGCAACT